TCCTAAAACTAAATTGGGCACATTCCCTGAAAATTTCAAGTTCATAACTTTACCAGGGGCGGCTCCAGAGCACTGGGAATTGGGGGGGGGGGGTCCTATTCGTGAAGCGAGTCATTTGGGCGAAGATCACGATGCTGCACCAGTTTTACGAACAGTGAATGAAAGGTATCATGTGACAACATATACAGTTATTGTGCATCCTCTTTTGACACGTTTTTGCTATAATAGGCGGATCCAGGCGTCCAAAAAGGGGGGTTATGTTTTACCTCCCAACATAGGTGCCCTGACACCGCCTATGCATGACCAATACAATTGTAGTCGTTCTCTCATCAGAAAATTGTAACATAACAAGACCATTACCACCCTTTTTAGAAACAGTACCAACAAAAACCTTATTTACTATACTTTTTGTGTACCCCCAATCTCAATGATCTGTATCCGCCTATGATTTTTGAAAATGCATATTTTTAGGATCCATGTGAATTCCTGGTTCATTTTCAATCGATCGGCAAAAGTTGCGTTAAGATTGGTTCAGAAACCTGGCCGTGATAAACAGTCTAAAATGTATCTGCAATTTGCCCGTTTTTACCCCCCCTCTACCCCCCTATTGACATTTTTAATTTTTATTTTTTAGAAATGTAGATCACGTTGAGCGAAATCGAATGCCGTTTGAATTTTGAAAATCGGCCCGTTAGATCTCGAGATATCAAGGGGGGGGGGGTCGTAAACAGCCCCCCCTGCCACTAATAGGGGTAGCCAGGAGCCTGCCACTAATAGGGTTAAATCACCTATCGACTCTGACCCAGCCGGTGTGCTATTCTCGTGGTCCGGGGGCAGAAATAGACGCTGGACTCGCCCGGTTACGGGCCGTGACACCACGGTACCCAGTCCCGGTCCCCGGACCGTGGTCCGATGACAGTGGTCTGAACTGGACCTGAACGGTCACATCTGGACCAGGTCCCTGACCTGCCCTGGCTGGGCTGTATCGCCTGCGCTGCTGATAAGACTACGGCGGCGCAGGGGACCGCTGCTGGCTGGAATTCCTGTAGGGTGGCGTCTTGCCCTTCACTATGTCGCTTGGGACTGTGGGGAGGTAGTTCTCTTCTTTGGGAAGGTCTGTCGCTGGTCTTACGGTATATGCAAGCTCATCAGAGACAGTGGTCGTTCTATCTAGGAATGGGTTGTAAAGGTATCGGCTAGGGCAGGGCTTCTTACTTTTCAACTACCTCCCTCGCTTCTCTAATGCAATCTGAGAGTGCGGATAGAAGTTTCGGCGTACTAAGTAGGCATTTGATTTGAAGCCTACTGCCTACCGGGATGGTGGTCCCAAAAGTGACTCAACAATCTTCATAAACATTAGCTGTCAAGGTCAGCGTTATTATGATAACCGCAGCTTTCAGCTTATAAAGACGTTATTATACTGATCTGCCCGAGCGATGGGTGTAGAAACTCACCAATGTTTTCCCACCCATAAAATGGTTAGGTAATGCTGTTGATATTGGCAACAGCACAAACCTCCACCTTTCATCACATCCTTTTTGTCGTGAATCGGACAGTTCGTTTGTTATTCTGTCCGCCTGGCACGCCCATGACTCTTGGTTTGGTTCTGAGGCGGCCGGCTCGCCGGAGCCCGCCCATTCCTCGTCCGTCCGTCAGCCCCTGCAGCTCCCAGCGGTGTCCGTCAGTCCCTGCTGGTCCACTGTCGTGTCCGCCCGCCCCGCCCTCCCTCGTGAGTCACGGCAGGGCGTCATCGCCGGCCGCCGGTCGTCAGCGTTGGCCCGTTCCGGCCGCAGCCGCCGGGCGCCGGCCCGGTCGGCCACAGTTCACTGTTCTGCCGGGTCCCCGCGGTCTGAGCTGGCCGGCCGGCCGGAGACCGTCGGCGGGTGGGTGGCGCCACGCCGCCGCCGCCGCCGCAGTGCCGGCCCGACCGCGGCCAGTGTCGGCGTGCCGCTCCTCCGCTCTGCACCGGCCGCTGTGTGGGAGTGTGTGGTGGACAGAGTCCGGGAGGCCGGTCCGGTACAGTCACTGATCAGTGCTGCCAGCGTGCTCCGCGGCCCGGTGTGTGTTCCAAGTGGCGCTACATTCAGCGCGTACGGAGATCCGCTGCTGCCTACGGACGCTCGGCAGCTGTCAGTTTGTGCAACACACCGCCATCAGTGCATTCCGCCGTGAGTGTTGCCAGTGCTCCCTGTTTCCGCCAGTGATTTCCGCGCGGCCCGTGTATGTTCGGCAGCGCGGCCGGCCGTGTGAGCCCCACTGGACGGACGTGGGCCAGGTGCGGTGACTGCGCGGCCTGTCGCGACCCGTCGCCAGCGCGGCTCTCCTCCACTCGCGACCGGCGTGCTGTGTCAGAGACGCCGTTCTTAGCGGGCGTTGCGTGTCTGCGTGTCAGCCGGCTCCAGCCCCCGTCACCCGTCCATTTGGACGCCGCGTCGGTGGAGTTCGTGTGATCTTTGAGACACGCCACTCCGACCGGAAGCGCTCATCCGAAATTAAAACCAGGCAGCCCCTGGTTTTGCCGATTCACCTGCTTCCGAAGTGCTGCTCCGTGGGACTGCTAGCTCTGAGTTCTCGACAGCTCAGGCTCTATCGGCTTAAACTTTTCGAAGTAAAACAGCTCCACAATCGCTCTCGGTGAACTCCTCAACTAGTCGCCTGATGGTCGGTCTTAGTGGGTCCCCAGCCGGCTGCGGGAGGCCCCGCCCCTGGCTGGTCGCGGTGGGTCCTCGCGGAACCACCACAGCCCGTCCCAGGCGGAACAGGGTGTAATCACCGGCCGTCATACCATGCTGCGTTGGGCGGGCACGTGCGCCGCCGCCGCTCGGCCGCCGCGCCGGCGGACCCTCATTGGGCCGCCGCCGGCGCGGCCGTGTCGCCGTCGCCGGCGATATTGCGTCCGGTCGACACTGGTGCGGCACGCCCCTGACCCGTTCGAGCCGGCCGGCCCCGGCATCTCATTTCCAGCGGGAAGGAGCGACTGCTGGAGATGGGAGCCATATATTACCGCGGACTGGCAGCCAGAGCTGTCTGTTGTATGGCCAGCATAAATCTGAATTCAGTTCACAGAGCGTTGTCGCTATTCGTTCCCCTCAGTCGCGCGGGTTTTGCAACATGCCTTCCGCCCTGTGTGGCGCTGCCGTTGTATTTATGTTCCCGTTACGTGTCCGTTCCCCGGTGTGTATGTAATGCAGTTGTGCGGAGCTCGCCGCGGTCTGTCCGCCGGTCGGCTGATGACCACTGGGGACCGTGACGAACGACCGGGTCCGGCCTGTGTCCGACCTGACCCGCCGTGTCGCGACAGGAGCGTCTCCCGGGGGACGTCCGGTGCAGTTACGGGCAGTGTCGTTATACGGCCTCCCCCGTGTCGTTAGGCCGTCTCCCCCGTGTCGTTACATGGTCCCACCGGCCTGGCCCTGGTCCAGCGTTTCCGGCCCGGCAATAACCTGCGGCGGAGAATGGATATGGCGAGACGAGAGCTCGGATAATGCCACGGTCCCCGAGTGGGTTCCTATGTCTGGGTGACTGCCGTATCGAAGACAGAGCAACGGCCCCGGCTGGGCCTTTCCGCTGGCAAACGAGCTGTGCGGTGCGCCTTGTTTGATGCTCATTCCACACAGTCGGGTGCACGCTGTGTCGGCCGCAGATGTTGCCGAGTGCAGTCGGTCTTATCCATCAGTTTGGCCAGTCTTATTAGAGCTGTGCAGTCAGTCTGATCCAGCCGTGCTCCGTGCGGCGGACGAACGCACCGGCCGGTCCTACCAGCTGACGGGCCGGCGCCGGAAGCACGTCATCGTGAAGTCAGCTGATCCGCTGAGTTGAGCGCCTCCGTGCAGCCGCGCACCGTGACGCCGCCGTTCCGACCCCGCCAGCCGCGCCGGCCGGCGACCTTGCGGCTGACGCCGGCGGCGGGCGGTGCGCTGTCTGGCTCCCAGCTCCCATGGCCGCCCCGGCGGCGCCGGTAACCGCCGGGGTGAGGACAGGGCGGACCGCCGCACCACTGGCCGAGACCGCCCATAACACCGCGCTGGAGGTCGGCTCTAACCGGCCGCGGCCAGAATAGCTGCATTACGTCCGGCCGAGCGCCGGCGGGGTTTCTGGCCGGCCCTCGGGTACACGGCGCTGCGGTTCGGTGACAGCTACACGGCCGGCCATTCCGCCGACAACCTGCGGCTATTTGTCCTGGCATTGGGAGACTGGTCTCTCTGGCTCCACTCAGCAGTGTGGGCAGGAAACTCGGCGCCGCCGTCACCGCCGCCGACGGGGGAGGGTGACTCCGTGTGACGTGTCCGTCCGCCTCTCCACCGGTGACGTAACGCCACGTCACCGAGCCGTCACGTTTCCCTGCAGACCGGCCGGCCAGTCCGCAGAACTCGACAACGCCGTGTGCACACCGCGCCGGTGTCGTAACAGCTCCGCGCAGAACGTCAATATTAGCGTTTATTAACGCGCTAATATAAACAGCAGCGAACAGCACCGCGCGACCACATGCTTGGTCTTTGCATAGCTAGCACGGGTACCAGTTTAATGCCTCATAACTGTCAGCTGGAAGGTGTTAATGACTGTGCTGGTATTGTAATGTCGCAAATGGCGTGGTTTTCGACCGCTATGTATTGTGTATATCGACCGCTAGCTGGCTTCCCAGGCACGCCTCTGAAACCTGATTCCATCCATTGGCGTCGCCGTTGATTGGCTTCCTGCCCTCCACGGGTGACGGACTTCCCCTTTCCGCTGGTGGAGGTCCCTGCTACGTCACTGGGACGGCTTCCTGCCGTCTCGCCGTGCCGTACTATATCACTGATACGCGTCGTTACCTTCCGTTCCGTCATGGAGAGATCTCCGCTCCCCTGTAATGTTCGTCTCTCTGACAGTGCGCCCGTCTCCCACCCCTCTGACAACGTGTAGTCTCCCCGCCTCGTCTGACAGTGTCCGTCTCCACCCCCAGCCGCGCGGTGCTGACCGGACTGTGCTGCCGGCCGCTGAGCGCACCGCCGTCCGGCGCTGAGCGGACCGCCGTCCGGCGCTGAGTGGGCCGCTGACCGGCGCTGAGCGGGCCGCTGACCGGCGCTGAGCGGGCAGCTGACCGTCCCGCCGCGCAGCCATGCTGGGCACCCTGCTGCTGGTGCTGCTCTGCGTGCTGCTGGGCGTCGTGCTCACGCTGGTCGTGCAGTACTATGTGCTCGAAAACTACTTCGAGAGCCTGCCCATTGTCGGGCCCACCGACAAGCCAACCGTCACGCAGCCGCGTCTGCCCGAGGTGAGTGGGTGACCCGAGCCGCCGACCGTCACGCAGCCGCGTCTGCTCGAGGTGAGTGGGTGACCCAGGCCGCCGGCGGCGTCTGTGGGCCCTGTGTCAGCGGGCCGGTGCTGATCCTGCGGATGGAGTTGTCTGAGTGGCGGATTGAGTTGTCTCAGCCGTGATAAAAGCGAGCGTACGCCGGCAGCTCGGCCTAAAACTGGGAGGCCATCGGCGTTAGTCTGGCGCCATTGGGCCGTGAAATGTCAGACCGGGTCACAGGCATGGCTGCAGGCGCGGTTTTTCCAACAGGACACGGACGAGCGACGGTTTTGCTTCATGTGCGATGTCAGGGCTTTAAATAATAGCACTGCACGACCACCGTGTCTATATTATTTTCATGCGAATGAGCATAAACTATTGGCATATGTAGAGTGCGTTCGAAGAGTGTGTACTTTGTTAAATGCTGTTACAGTGTATTTTCATCTGGAAAAATAGCTTATGAAAATAGTCGTGATGCCTGGAAGCTCTAAAATAAGGCCGGGAGCAGTTGATAATTATAAGGCCGATTGAGGCTCGGTCCATTAGTTGACCAAAGTTGCCCGGAGAGCTGCGGGTTTTCACCCAGACCAGTCCGGTCGCTCGGCGCCACTCGCTGACTCTCCCATTATCTGACCGTGTCTAGTGTCGATACCAACCACCGGGGGCGGCGGAGGCGGTAATCGACTGCTGCCCAGTCTTTGAATCGTTCCAGGGAGCTCACAGGCTATTTGTAGCGCTGCGGACGGGCGGATTCAGGGAGAGTTCACACGGCAGCCGCAGTCTGACACCCACAGCCCCACAGCAGCACATTCACATTATTCACAGCTTCACTACAGGGTGTCTCAAAAGTTCGTTCACACATTTCCCATACCAATAAAGCATATAAGAACCGGCCAAAAGTATAAGGTTTTGGTGTCCGTGTGTACACTAGACAAATATGCATGCTTTGACAACTGATTAAGAAGGTTGGAAACCAACCCCTTTGCTGTATCTCCAAAAATATTTGCCCATGCCGATTTTTTGTTGCTCCGTCAGCTGCCGGAGGCTGATAAAAGGTTACGAGCTTTCAAGCTCTTGCAGGGGAATCCCCTGCAGTTTCTGCGTCGGATTTAGTTTTGACTAGCCCCCCGGCAACATCTGATTTTCCCTGAAAGCCGACAACTTGCATCGACACCATGCTTGAGTATTTTGTAGGCATTCTCTGGCGCTAACTCCTTCATGAATGACTGGCGCCGACATCCCAAGCGCCATTTTCCTTTTCAAAACGACCCCAGTCCTGAACAAACGGGAAGTGCCAGGAGTAAATTTTTCGCATCATATGGTAGCAGAATGTGTCGGACGTCTGTTTCTCAGACACATTGTGCAAATTTTGCAAATTCCAAGCGCTCGTCATTCCCCATCCCAAGACCTTCGCTCGGTTGCGGACTGTTTTCCTCGGGAGATGTTCTGCTTTGTAAACGGCCCAAACCTGTCCATCGTATGGTTTTATCGGGATTTTGTGTTTAAAAGAAATTTATTCGCTGCAGATCTGCCTCTTGAAACTTCGTTAGATAAAATTTTACAATAACTGACACTTTTGGAGGGTCAGGTGTCCTTGGCATTTACGATTTTTGTGTTATTGTCCCCAAAAATTAGCGTTATAGATATTATAAACAATTTTAAATTATAATTTGTCTTTATTTTACGATGACCAGCACTTTTTGAAAATGGGTAACCTCTGTCTGTGATCTTCTTGCCAGTTTTTAATAGTTATGACCGCATTTTCAGCTGCTTTCCGGAACACGAGTCTGCTGCCGTGCGAGGGTCGTTCAAAACGCCGTTAGTCTCGCATGGTTTCGTCCTTCAAAAATTTTAGCCACCGTTTTTATGAGATGATCATCATGCTGCAATCATCCTCGCCGACACTTAGCCATGTGTCATTTCCGACTTAACCATTCCCATTACTCCTGAAACAGAGAGTTTCACAACATACCCGACTTTGCAACCTACATTTTCGTGCCTGACCCATGGTCAGAGGTGAACCCTTTTTGTGAGCTCATGAAGGGTCGAATGCACTTGAAAAACAATGAGACTGCTTGAGGAAGGTTGTCACCAATGCCCATGCAAAATTTCGACTGTTAATTTCTTGTTGATTCAGAATTATTGACAAAAAAGCATGGCTGGTACCTGTGAACGAACTTTTGAGACACCCTGTACGCTCCAGCTATTTCAATCTGAAAATATTCAGATGTGCTGTATAATATGCGGTATTATAAGGCGGATCTAGAATGGACACCCCCATTTACTGGATGGTTCCACACTGTAAAGCTGCTGATATGTTCTTAGCAGAGTCGGCAAAGCCCTAACGCAAACATCCGATCTCGCCACATGTCTTAGCTCACACGCTGCTGTGGGCAGATAAATCCACATTCCACGTCGTATTGTCATGCATTGAGGTCTTTTACTGATGTGTTCGTTGCCTGACTGGGTGAATGGACAGCTGTGATTCATCGATGACTTATTTAAGATAAGGCTGGATGTCACTTTTTACGGCCTAACTATGTGTGTTCATTGATGCCTTTTTGATTTTGCATAATTGCTTTGCTAATTTGCGCCTTAGTTCTGTTGGCTCTTCTTTTTTCATTTGCAAATGAAGACTACACTATCATATCAACTGCTTTGATCTGACTCCCCACTGCACCTCACTCGTCTATCGTCATCCTGATCCTGACCGTGTGGTCCCCGCTGCACGCTATCGGCCTAAGGCTGACAATAGCCTCCCTGACCGCCCCAGGAGCTGGCTGACGAGGTGCGCAAGGAGACCTACCAGCGGAAGGAGACCTGCCTGGCCATCAACCTGCTGGTGCAGATGTTGTTCGGCGACCTGGTGCACACGCCGCGCCTCCGGCTCTGGGTCCTCAACAAGATCCACCTGGAGTTCCAGGAGCTGATGGCCCGCACCAGCGTCGGCAAGCTCTTCCACAACATCAGGGTGAGGCGCCGGACCGGGAGTCTGATGTGCCGCCGGGAGTCTGATCGCTGAGAAATCGGGGTGGGTTGCAGTTACCAGTCGGTCATAATTTGTTACGGGAGTTTTATGGAGTTGTATTGGGTTGAAATTGGTGCAGGTAATCAGATTTCGCACGGAACTTAAAGTAGACTAATACTCGGGAAGGTCTGATGTACTTGAGCCGTGGATCCATCTTCCACGAACCGTGTCGTTTTTGCACGTCTCTGTGTATTGGAGTGGCGGACCGGTTGGTCCCGCCTCGCTCGGCCCACAGCTGGGGCGGGTGAATTATTTACCGCCGGCCTGCTAATGGGACTGAGACACGGTCCGTTGCGCCTCCGTTCTAATCCAAACACTCCCTCCTCCGGGCGCGCTAACTTTGTTACCGGCGAGAGAGCGTGTCCTCGTGTTTTTTAATGTGTCAAGCGATTTTCCTAACGGGTAGCGATTGTTCTCAAATCAGTACGCGTTTGATATTCTATCCTTTGAATAAATAACCTGCCTGGGATATCATGCATGCTATGCAACAAGACGGTATCCCTTTTATGGATGTTGCGCTGCTGCCCCAAACCGTCTGCCTTATTGATCAAAGGCATGATAAATGCGAGACCTCAGATTGGTGACATTTCCGTGAATCTCTGTCAACCTCCGACCAGCTACTGCCGCCGCCATCCGTCGGTTTCCACGTGCCGTTACATAACCCACCCCTCCGTCGGCAGATCAACGAGCTGGACCTGGGCGGTCAGATGCCCGTGTTCAAGAGCGTGACGACGCAGTACGTGTCGCTGCACCCGGTCACCCAGACCATCGAGCAGCTGGACCTCAAAGTGGACGTCGAATACAACGGCGGCCTCAAGCTCAGCATCCTGGCAGACATCGTCCTCAGTCGCAAGGGCTTCGTCTTCCTCAAAAGTGGGTGTGCGGAGCTGTGGGGTCAGTCAGTCATGGTGGAAGTTCACCTCTTCCCAGTCAGACATACCGGACTTCTGTTTGCTGATATTTGTCGCTCTGTATGACTGCATTTAATGACATCAGTGTTCATATGGCTTCACTCGAGGTAGCGCGAACAGCGTCAAGTTACGTATCATTAAGTGTCACATGTTCTCGGGAACTTGTTTGGTGCGTTAGGCTATTTAGTTTTTCGATGTCTGTTTAAAATGAATGCGCAGTCGTAGCCGTCGGGAACTAACGATATAACACTGTAGCACCCCACGCCTCTCCGAGTGAGCTGACGGCTGTGTCCCGTTCGGCAGTTAACCGTCTGTCGGGTCAGGTGCTGCTGCGCTTCTGCCGGCGGCCGTTCTCGCACTGGGCGTACAGCTTCATCGGCGACCCGACTATCGAGGTGGAGGCCGAGAGCCAGTTCCAGGGCCGGCCGCTGCCGCGCGTCACCGCCGTCATCGTGCGGCAGGTCAGTCGGGGGGCGTCACTGCCGTCATTACGGAGCGACCGAAGCGAGCGGAGTCTTTCCTTAGATTAACGGAAATTTCTGAGTATGAGCGGCCGGCCGGCCTTGCGGACGCTTTTGCGAGGCTTATATCTCAGCAACCACTTGACCGATTTACACGCGGTAATTTTTGTAGGGTAGCTTCATTCCTTCTGCCAAGTATTGGACTATTCCCGATGCATGTGGGTGACCCCTTATTCACGTGCCACGTGCAAAACGAAGAGGTGTCACTTTTGTAATTGTTGCAATATCTCGGTAACTACTTGGCCGATTGCGCTGAATGTTGGCATGTATAGGTAGGCACCCACAAGGCAATGCATATCCATGTGCCAGAGTTGGGGTGCTGCTGCACATGCGCACGTGCAGGGGTCGATTCCAGATCTCGAGAACGGCTGGACCGATGGCGCTCAAATTTGGTACATGGCTAGGGACCGGTTAGTAGGGTGCCGTGCAAAAGTCAGTTGGAACCCATTTTGCACGTGCGCACGTACAGGGTGCCGCTTCCAGATCTCGAGAACGGCTGGGCCGATGGTGCTCAAATTTGGCACATCGCTAGATACCGGTTAGTAGGGTGCCGTGCACAAGTCAGCTGGAGGTACCCCCTCGCAATTTCGCACGTGCAAGGCTCACCCTCTCGCTCGCTCCGTTAGTCGCCCCAAAAGGCGTTATACTGGTCATACGGTAGGTCAGACGGACGTTTTTGATATCAGAGTACGAAGGTTAGCGGGGTTCAGCAGATTGTTACACTGGCCCTTCCTGGGTCAGATAGGTTCATTTGAGCTCGCTCAGGGTCAGGCGCAGGCCCCACAGTGTCGACTCATGGGACCAGGCCATCAGAGGGTGTTATCTAATTGCACAGTGGCGGCTGAGGGTCATGTGGAGTAGCAACGGTCAAAGGATGGGATCATCAAAGACTGTGTCACGGTGACACGGCGGGGAAATTTGATGGACCGAGTCTGCAATGGTGGTGGGAGGCTGGCTGGAGCTCTGGCGGTATTCCGGGAATCAAAAATAAGACGCATCCGTTTAGTTAAGATGTTTGAAAATCATAAACGCAGTCGGGCTGTTTATCAAAACGTTCCATCGGCGTGGTTTAGTTGAGACAAGTGCCTCCGGAAGCCGATTTTAGCTATGTAAACCTGGTTCATGGGTCAGTGCTGTACCAGATCAATACTTCAGTGGCGCGTGGGCGGGCTGCGAGACTCGCTAACAAAAATACTCGCGAATAAAAATAACTCAGCTCAGCGGCTCGACGGCAGCCTGCCTGATATTTATGTTTTACCATAGTCTGCACTGAATTTTTAGTGGGCGCAGATTTTCGTTCGTTTATTCCACCGGACCTTGACGTCACAGCCCCTTCCCCCGCTCGGTCCTCAGATAAAGCGCACGCTGCTCACAGCCCCTTCCCCCGCTCGGTCCTCAGATAAAGCGCACGCTGGTCACAGCCCCTTCCCCCTCCGGTCCTCAGATAAAGCGCACGCTGCGTAAGCGGCACACACTGCCCAACTACAAGCTGCGCTACAAGCCTTTCTTCACGTCCCGGCTGCAGCAGCTGTCGCCGGAGCCGCCGGAGACGCCGCCGGGAGGCCAGCTGGAGGTGACACTGAAACGGCTCTCCCGGCTGCGGCCCAGCGGGCAGCTGTCGCACGTCTACTGCCGGCTGGCCGTGGGTAGGTGCCGACCTGGGACCGGGGGATGGGGGGGGGGGTGTCACAGATCTGTTGCTCTGCGGCCCAGCGGGCAGCTGTCTACTGCCGGCTGGCCGTGGGTAGGTGCCCGGGGGACGGAGAACATGGGAGGGTGATGGAATAAGGGAATGTGGTGGGACTGATTGGGACTATCCATTAGCACTCCGCAGCAACCGGCGGCACGGGTGAAAATCAGGGGCGAAAGCGGAGATTATATAACACTATTGCTCTGGCTCACTTGGACAGCTCGGCAACAATGCCTGAATCGTTCCTCTGCCCTGTCGCTGGTTGCAGCACTCGACCGGACGGGTCGGGAGACTTGTGCAATGTTCATTCTCGGGTGATACAGTAAATCTGCCGGCCCCGGGCTGCGGCGGCGGCTGGTCACTCTGTCGGGCCGTAAACTGGCGGCGGACAGACGTTGTCCAGCCCACAGGAGACCCAGCGGCACCCATTTAGGCTGTGTCACGGGCCGGCGGGACCGTGTGAACTTCACCTGATGAATGTCACACGCCGCACCGGGCTGGGGGCACCGGGCGCAAGGGTGCTCTGTTAATTATTTACCGCCATCACGATCATTGTGGTATGACGTGTGTCCTGCAGCTTTGCACGGCGCTTCTGATTACATTGTTCACCAGTTGCCAACATATCAACAAGAAAATCACTGTGAGCCCATGACGGGCACTTCCCATGCCACTAGTGACCGTCATCCCAGTGTCGCGCTGGTCCCTGGCTGACTATAGTGACTGTTCATGACTTATCACCACTCATTGACCCCTCTCCTTTTCCGCAGGCTCTGGGCCGCTGCTTCTGGACACGTCGCACGCGCAGGGGACTCTAACCCATCCCTCGTCTTTCTGCAGGCTCTGAGCCGCTGCTACTGGACACGTCTCACGTGCAGTGGACCCAGGAGTCGATCCCGGTGCCGGCCCACCCGGGCCTGGCCGTCGGTCTGCTCGTGCGAGACACCTTCGTCATGGAGAAACAGTGCAACTGCATCACCGTGTTCATAGTGGTGCACAACGCGCCCGCCTACAAGGCAGGCCTCAAAGGTGGGTGATGTGTTCTGCCGGCTGAGGTGGCTGTAGTTTTATGTGTGCGGTGATAGAGTAAAATGCAGGAGGTCAGGCACTGCAGTTGAAGTCTGATAGCTCGGAGAGCTCGGGGTAAAATGTCTTGGTAGTGTTTGGTGGGCGAGGGTTTTGCTGGGCGTGGTTTTCAGTTGGGTGGATTGACAGAAGTAAGTCGTATGCGCTGTTGTATGCCCGGTGACGGCGGGCAGATCTGTGTACCGTTTGTGGTATTTGATGTGTCTCCGCTGCTGTGTGCTAGTTGACGGCGGATGGATTGTTATACCGACGGGACCGCCTACGTGACAGTATCACCGGTGACTGGGGAGAGTATTGTCTAGGGCAGTTTGTGCCGTGCGTGTGCATGACCGCGCCGATCCGATGACCGCAGCCGGCGACATTGTCGACTCGGTGGACGGCCAGGAGCCGGTGACTAGGTAGGGTGCTATCTAGAGGCAGTGTGTGGCCGGTTGTGACCGCGCTGTGTGACCGCGCTGTGCCGCTCGCTGCAGCCGGCGACATCGTCGACTCGGTGGACGGGGAGCCGGTGCGGGACCTGGCCACCGCCAACCGACTGCTGCGACAGCCGCACCGCGACATCACCGTGCGCGTGCTGCGCATGACGGAGACCAAGTTCAGCTCCGTACGTAATGGCGCGCACCGCCGCGGGGGTCCCGGGATGTGCCTTAGGTCCGGACATGTGCTCCAAACATCGAACAATCTTTTCTGCATTTTGCTACCTTTTAACTGCGGTCACGTCTAGTCGAGTATAACATTTACCTTAGAAATAGAATCCTAGACTGTTCAGCTACAGCCCCATTTTTAAGAATGAGGGTAGGTCAGTGTTTGGTCTTTTGTTAGAGTTCTCGTATATCGCTCAGCGTTCCTGTCCGATGTCAATTACGTTGAAATATCCATCGCTTCCTTCCGAGATAGCTGTGCTCGCGGTATTATCCCAACTACCACCTGTCCTGCCTCTGACCGTCTGTCTCTCGTTCCCGGTTCCAGCGGCGAGCGGCCACCGTGTCCAGCTCTCGGCCCGCCACGCGGCCGCCGCCACCGACCCCGGAGCGCCGGCTGCACAGCTCCGTCTCTGAGTCGCTGCTGACCGACGACTCGCCGGTGCGCCGGCGCCGCGGCACGCGCAGCGTCTGCGCCCCCAGCCCAGGTAGGCCGCTGGTGGCCGCCGCCGCCGCCTCCTGGGCCGGCTGGGTGCGGCTCGGGCCGGCCGCCCGCGCCGCCGGACGCTGCGGGCGGCCGCACCTCTGTCGCGCGGAGGGAGAGTGGACGGAGACGCGCCGTGAGCTCTCAGAGACGCGCCGTGAGCCCTCAGAGACGCGCCGGGAGCTCTCAGAGACGCGCCGCGAGCTCTCGGAGGTCGGGGTGGAGGCGGGCGGTGAGCTGGCCTCTCCGGAGGAAGGTAGGACTGTCTGAGGCGCTGAGCGCACGGCCACTGAGTAAGGAGACACGGACTAACCGCCCGGCACGCGGGCCGCGGACAGGTCACCGCCGCGGCCTCGGACTGGTGGCCGACCGAGGCCGGGATTGGTTCGTACCTACAGTTTGCTGGATTTTCAGACGGGAGGGCGATTATGCATATCATTTACGGCTATGGATTGGTCGGACTGTTACAGAAGCATCATATGCGCGCGGATACTGTTCGAGAAAGAATGCGCGTGCCTTTGCTGAATGATACGGGACATTTATAAGACACTTGCAAGGGAATGGGAAGGCGTTGGGCATTGCTCGATGTTGTTATAAGATTGCCGTTTTTCTGTAGGGTTTACACGTATTCCTGGTATTCGATTTGTAATGAGGCATGCGAATGCCGTGTGCGGTTTCCAATATTCAGGAGTTTCTTCGCTTTCTTCCTAATCTGTCGGGATTGTTTTCTGGCATTGTCTAGCACGGGTGTCACAAATTGAGGTCTTCTTTCTGTTTCTCACTCTTTTTCTTCAGGGCTGTATTGTCTGCGTGAGTGCATGTCATCTCATTTCGTTCAGGATTGGCAGAAGTGCATATATAGACGAGTACGACTTTCAAAAAAAAAAAATCAAACATCTCTCGCCACGAAGTGATTACGACTTGCGCAGGCTAATATACATTATACAAAGACATCTTTCGGGCGCTTCATTGTTTGGTTTCGCTCACGTAATAACGTTCTGTGTTTGTCGCATTGATCGCTTCCCTCATTGTTTCTGACTTCTCGGTGATAACCGACCTTCTGACGGTGCGCCCCGTTTCCAGTTGGTGACCGGGAGGACAGCAGCTCCGAGATCAGCCTGCCCGCCGCCATACAGAACTGTATCTCCGACCAGGAGAAGGCCACCAAACTGGTGCGATGGAACGAGGTCAGTGTATACTAATCTGCCCTTAGGTCCACTCTGCTTGTCGGTGGTCTGTGCTCACATAACCGGGTGATGTAATGTATTGGACGCCGGTCCACGATGTCCTGTCACCGTTAGTAACTCAGTTGAGGGCTGAATCACGTCAGATGCTGAGCGGAATGCTTTTCCGCAGTGTGATTAAATCGGATAATGTGACGCCGATATTATACAGCTTCTGTTTGAGATGAGCAGTTAGATATTCCTCGTCTGATGCTTCTGCCGCCCGTCGCACCGCACCCCACTCCTGCCATATATGTTTTCCTCTGAAATCGGCGCTGCTGCTCCGTTCCGTCGCTTTCATCCTCAGGATAGTCAAACCATTTTACTTCACACCCCAACCCCTTTCTCCAGGCTGGACGGTAACTTTATCCCGTGCTGGTAACTCCAACCCAGGAGAAGGCCCGTAGCCGGTGTGGTGGCCCCTAACGGGGCTAGGTGGCCTGTCCACGCGATGGGCTCGGCCCCGGCGGAGCACCAGGGTGCCCTCTAATTTCTATCATCCTTTCAGCTTTGAAATGGTATCGTCAGACAGAAAGAGCCTAATCCAATAAAGCACAACAAACAAAACCGGCGCTGCTGATTGACATGTCGATGTTATT